GTACCACTGTCTCCCGTTTCACAGCATTTTCCAACTGAATTCAGCTTAGCACCTTAGTCACACATATACCACTTACTTTGTCACCTGATAACTAATATGTTATTCTACGTAAACATATATCCCCGCATAAGTGGGTATACTGTCATGATAGAGAATATTATATTTTATAATGGTAAGAACCTGAAGAGAAATTAATGAAAAGAATATTCTTCACTCAGATTGACCTTAAATCTACGATGTGGGAGTATTTCATACTATTAAAGTCCTCACATTTCCTTAACGCCAGTGTTATATTCCTATATTGCACCGTCAGTTTAATTTTCGTACGGACAGCGAAGGTGTTTCTCGAGGCTATGGTTTCTTTCCCAAACTCCTGCTTGCTGGTAAGGGCTAGGCAAAATCCTGATTGACTGGAATCACCACCCTCTAGAAACCAAATCTCTGGGAACATTGGTTGGGTCAAACCTTGTTTAGGGACTAAACATAGGGTTATTCATTGGAAACGTTCACTCCCACTTCGTGACTCTAGGTTTGAACTCAGTTAGAACCATGATTTTATCAGATAAGTAGAAACTTTTAATCCCCACAACATGCAGATGCTGAAGATACCCATTTTGTCCGCAGAGAACAGGTAGAGGTCGTCCAATTAACAGTGGGTTTATCGCTGCAGATCAATTTTAGCGTCGAGGTTGCCTCCGCTATTCAAGTAATCAAGGCTCTGTTTATCCCGCAAACTGTTTCATCCTATCCCTCTGAATTGTGTCAGGTCAACAACATTTGTTTATTAACTGAAATTGACTCTCTTTGAAGATTTAAATAGAATAGAATTCATGCAAAATATAGGTAAATGTGCTGGGGTATTAATGGTGAATCCATGCGTAACTTACTCCTAGACACCAATCTTGTAGTTTTAGGCCACTTAATAATAATATTTTACCATTAAGTGACAATAATTAGTCTGATTAGTGTGGAGAGTTCCTTAGATCTTCGGTTGTAAACACTGATGCAATAGTCATGCTTGCCAGCGGAAGATGGACCTTCGCACAAAGTTGTGAGACACAGAATTAGTGATATATTTGACTTCATCTCTAACGTTATGAATAAAGTTGTGACATCTATGAATGTGTTGTGCTTATACACAAAAATATACCACTGGTTAGGACAGTGGACTACATATACCAACAGATATTCTAAATGCAAGTGGATATGAGGATTCTCCTGTCTGGCTTCTAAAAGAGTTTCGCCTTACATCTATAGTTAACATACACTGTCTCCCATAGTTCATATTACCTTTATGGGCTCACTGTTTGGCTTGATTTCAGCTGAATTATTCCTCGCGGGACTTGAAAATGGACGACTGGAGGATGGCGTCAATGAGCTCGATTTGCTTTGTCACGTCAATGATATATTTTTCTTACTCAATGAGAAAGCGAACACAAGTGAATGGCTGATGAAATTCGATAAGATCCATCCTTTGCTCACACTAATGAAGAGGAGCAGGGCAACATGTTACACCTTCTGGATGTTTTGCTAAGTAGGTGAGAAAACGGGTCAATCGAGAGAGGTGTGTAGAAGAAAAGCACACTCAGAAAGCACCGCGCAGTCTTTCTCAGTCATGTTTACAATAAATGTATGGGAAATAATATTAAGTGGCTTAGAGTCAAATATATGCGAAAGATCGTTTAGAGTTCTAAGGTGATATACCAAGTGAAACAGTAAAGGACAAATTGAGAAAATCTTCTCAAAGAAGCTGTAGCTTGTGTTTTTCACACAAACGGTTGTGATTCTGAAACTGAATGATGAACTATCTTGGCTAGACACCTCTACTGTATCTGTCGATTCAGCTGCTCCTGTGGAGCCAGTTATATTGACTGCTGTTCTAGAAGGCCAATTTTCACCTTCAGGAATGACTACCAGTGTGGTTAAATAACGGTGTTTTTGAAGCCGTCAACACTTCTTTACTGAACTACCTCGACCAAACGAGCCACGAAGAAGAATCTTTTTCTATCGCCTATTGGGTATCGAGTAAATTATCAAAGGATTGTAAATGCCGAACACTCCACACAGCGGAGGTAATTGCAGTTTGCCTCCGTGAGATCCGCGTGCGAAATATACAGTTTCTGCTACTACTGTTACCCCGGTCTGCTGCCGAGCCTGTAATAACAATAATACATTGATTCCTATCTTTGTAGGACACACTAGTTGTACAGGCATGGATAAGTACTACTTAAATAATATGAGTTCGGTTTATGGGGAAATTACATGGTTGCTATCTTTTCTGTCTTTGGTTTGTGGGAACAATCTGTTTACTAGTCATTCAATGGACCACATTAAGAAATATAGAAATATTGTCTCCGCGTTAACAAAAACTCAAGTATGTGCCGGATGCATTAAAAAGATTTGGGAAATAATAAAGCTTGAAGTCATTTCCCTCATATAACTTCATTGTCTACAGCATCAAATCTTATTCTTGATAAATATCCCAATTGGGTATTAATTTAAAACAAGTGGTATATTTGTATAACTTTGTCAGCATTCTCATCGTAAATAACACCAGAATTGAATTGTACTTGGTGCAGATTAATATCGGTCATTGACTGGCAGATTTGTTCTGCTGTGCTATCCACTGCCTCACGTGCATGACTTGACGGCAACATTATCTAGTGCAACTATATTTTGGAAATAGACTTCGTTAAAAAGTATAACCAAATCCCGATGGTACCAGAAGATATTCCAAAATGGCTATTATTTCGCCTTTCGGACTTTTTGAATTTCTACGTATGCTATTTGGCCTCCGGCTTGCAGCACAAACATTCCAACGCTTCATTAACGAAGTATTTCGTAGCTTCGACTTTGTAAACGCATACTTAGACGACCGCCTCGTTGCCAGTCCAGACAAGGAAACTCACCTTAGACACTTGGACTTGGCATTCGAAAGGTTGCACCTACATATTGTTACCGCTAGTATTGAGAAGTGCCAGATAGGCGTTGATTCACTCGAATTTCTTGGCCACACCATTGACTGCAAGGGTGTTCACCCAATGGCTTGTAAAGTTGAGGCGATACTGAACTTTCCAGAGCCACAGACAGTGGAAAGTTTTCACACTTCCAACGGCTTGGTAAGTTATTACTGACGGCCTTTTCCCAATTATGCTTCCCTGATTCAGCCACTAACAGACCTACTTCGAGGGAATAAAAAGTCCACTGAACTTGACGCGTCTGCTCAAAATGCTTTCACTCAGGTTTAAAAAGCTACAGTGGATACCATCCTTCTTATGTATCAGGATTCAACGACACCGTTAAGTATTTCAGTTGACGCATCAAACCTCTGTTACCTACCTTGGAAGCATCGTCTCAACTACAGGCGGACTCGACTGACGAGGATATCAAAGCAAGAATCGGAAAAGCAAGACAAGCTTTCACTACTCTCAAGTCTGTGTGGAGGTCAACAGCACTCAGCATCAAAAATAAGATCCGGATTTTCAACTCCAATGTGGAGTCAGTCAGTGCCACTGTACAGATCAGAAACTTGGCCAGCGCGTCATAAAGAGCATCTCAAACAAACTACAGACCTTCATTAACAGTTGTCTTCGCTCAATACTCAAAGTCAGATGGCCAGAAAAGATCAACGACAGGGATCTCTGGCAATGAGCGAACCAACACAGCAGGAACCAATTGTGAAACAAATAGGCAGGAAGAAATGGAGATGGATTGGCCATACTCTGAGGAAACCATCAAGTGACATCACTAGACAAGCCATTGCTCGAGTGGAACCCGAAAGGGAAGCGGCGAGTTGGTCGTCAGTGCAAGGGTGACTTGGAGGAGGTCATGTGAAGAGGAGATGAAGGTGTGTGGGCAGACTTGGAGCCAGGTGAAGACTCTAGCAGAGAACCGAATGCAATGGAGACGCACGGCTGAAGCCTTATGTTCCTCTAGGAATTAAAGGAAGCAATAATAATAATAATCGAACACTGCAACCAGTGCAGTTCTGCAACAACTGGTCAACAGAGAATGACAACCGCTCGAGGCGTCCACAACTAGCAGAAACAAAGAACAGAGCATTCTGTAGAGAACTCCTGGCTTTGTGCTATGATATGGGATATTTTCGACATTCAGTGGAGGGTCGTGAATAGATGATTTTCACTGACCATAAACCTTTGATGTACCCTCTGAACTCAACTATAGATAAGCATTCACCTAGAGAATCATGACAACTGGAATACGATGAACGTGTCCACCAACCGATCTGGGGAAGGATTTATACTCACGACACCTCCACATAAGCGTATATTTCCTTTTCTCATGAATTACACATCCAAGCAATACTAGAAAACCTGTTCTTCACAAATTTCAGACGCAACTGCTTACAGCAGTCATTTGTCTCGAGTCAAGCGGAATGGAAGCTTGAACCCACGTGGAGAAACTCGTTGGCCAATTCTAGGTTATTGGTGCTGTCGCACTCCATAGGTAGTTACTGACGCTTAGAGTTTAAATTGTCGGATAAGCTGAATAGTAAGCCAACCTCACACGTGGTCTAAGTTTAATCCCCGGACAATGCACTCTTAAACCTCGAATGGTTTTTGGGAAGATTGGATGCAAAGCTAGCACTCCCAACAGGTTAAATAAAACACCGTGGCTACTGAAACTTCAAAGCTTGAAGCTCGGTGCTCATTTTAGAATGCAGCGAAGTTTAAGTATAATAAACACAGCCAAGATCTTTCAAAAGTTGACCTTCGAAAACCGATCAAACATTAAGAATGCTACGAAATGTCATTGCATATCAAATCATAGCTGCTTTTTTGATAGTTGGCCACAGGTTTTCTTCCTTTCAAAGATCCTGTGGTCTAAGCAGTGCTTAAATACTAGGTCTGGATGTAATTTTTCATAATTCATGTAAAGCATCCATAATTCCACCCACATAAGAAGGATTTACCTGACTGGTTGATCAGGATGGATAATCCCTTCACCAGCTAGTTTCGAATTGTTATAGTTTTTCAATGCTCAAGGTTAAAGCCTTATGGGTGTAATGGGTTTTTGAAACGATTTAAAGTTTCACATGACTTTACGTGTGCTATGTTAAAGTGCACAAACGCTGAACATTAACATACACAGTGGACATGGAAAATGTTTACGTGAATGCTATACAAAAGTTTTTGGATATTAATTCAGCAAATGATTTAGAACAACTCTTGAGTATCAATAAGCAAACTCGAAGGAATCATTTGCTTCTTTCTGATTCTCCATCTGACTGCTCAACAACATACTCAAGCGATGATCAGTGTGTTACAGTATGTTTTATATTTCGTATACTTTTGTTCATAAAATTCATATTCGTGTTTCTAGTTATGATATATTTTTCCAGTTAATTTATGCTGTTATCTAGTTTAAAACCAAAAAGTACGTTTGTGTGTCAAATACTGGTAATTTTGACGGAGCGTAGATCATGTAGTTTGTAGCCAGTTATGTATAATTTGCCGTTTTGATTTCTCTAGTTACCTGATTTTTGTAGATTTCTATAATTTAAACATTGATGTTCGTCGTGAATACTCGAAATCAATCCTCTTTTTCATATTATGCACGCTTTATTAATTTTTCCTCAGTTTTCTTCAGCTTTTCACTCGTCCGTTAAGAGTACCAAATGTAATAATACATTAGATGCTCACGTTGCTTTTATTTTAGGTACAATTTTCTTCAGTGGTGCATTCAGGTGGTGTCAAAGCTTCATAATGTGATGGCGAGCCTTTAATTTGAGTTTAACTGAATATTTGCTCAAAAATTGCAATAGACATTTATTTGGAGACAAGCCTTATTATCACTGAATAGAGAGTCATGTATAATTCCTTACTATATTATTTTTGGCCAGTCATGATCTGTCGAAGCATTTATAAATGAAGTTGCAAGTTTAAGCGCATGAAGTGCGCTATTATAGTTGCCAGGGTAAATGGTTCGCTTTCGTATTATTTTATTGAAATAAGACTTGTAAGAACTTGTTCCACATATTTATTGAGCAAGTATTGGCCGGTCTGTTACTACTTTGGCGGTTATCACAAATCATTAAGTATTAAAATAGTTGTAGGGGCTTTCAGAGTTCTGAAGCCCCAAAATCTTCAAAGCATGAACACTTTTGTCTTCCACTGCATTCACATTCGGCCTTTATCATGAGATTCTCCGAATAACTATTACATAGTTTTGGCTGTTTTTGAATAGTTTGTATTGAGTACTAGACTATCAGTCGCTGATAAATCTTTTCAGCAGTAGTATGTTTCAACATAATGCATCTAATAGATGAACCTTTATGAAATTAATTACTCTTGCACTGGAAAAGCTATATATATATATATATATATATATATATATATATGATAATTGGGCTGTTTGCTTAGTGAGTGATTTGTTCTATTTGTAATAAAGAGATTTACGAATAGATGAAGCAGTTTAGATCGCATGAAATTATCAACAAAATGGTTTGATAAATATGTAAAACTAACTTCAGAGTTCTAAAGCCATTATTATGTACACTTATAAAATCTTTGAATGTACTTTTTTGATTACAAAACTGACTGAGGTTTGTGTTATACAGCCAGATTTACAGTTTTACAGAATAAAAATATTAAGTAGAAGCTAAACTCGTTGTTGCTGGCGTTTTGTGAGGAAGTGTTGGCTATCAAGGTGGTTTCGCTTCTTTCCAAGTTAGACTATTTTTAGATAAGACATTTTACTGTCATCTTAGAAGTCAATTTCAATGATATTGTATAAGAAGGTGAAATTATCTTATGATTCGGAATGGTTGAAGATTAGTTTGGACTCTTACTCCTGTGCATTATGCACGTCTTCTTGATTGGTTTCTCGTAATAAATTTTATAATTTTGTCTTTTAACTACCATATTTGTTTTGGTCTGTTTCGTTTGAATTTGTGGTGATGAAGCGCTGTTAAGTCGGTCGTTTATTTTTGTATACAGGTCATTCAGATTTACTGGATTTTACGAAGGTGGAGAACATTTCCGATGGATCGACATATGTTCCTCCTCTTCAAACTCTCTCACCTTTCATTGCTCACTCTTCTCCATGGAGTTTTCGTTGTCTACATTTTGAAGCTTGTGTTGAGATCGACTTGATTTCTAAATAGTTGATGTATGTGCAGAGCTTGTGGTAGAATTTAATTCCATATTAGATAATTTTATTTCAGATATCATACAGTGACGCAATATTAACAACTACATGACATTTCAGGCATAAATTATTGCTCATAGTCATATAAATTTAGTCATATGACTTCACAGTTCTGTGAAAGAGCTCACACTATCATATGATTAGAGTACAAAGCAGGTGAAAAAAGCAACTGTTTTGAAATCAAGCCAATCCCAACACAAGCTTCAAAATGTATACAATGAGAACCCCATGGGGAAGAGTGAACAATGAAAGGTGACAGAGTTTGAAGAGGAGGAACGTGGATCAAACTGTCAGAAATGTTCGTAAAATTCAGTAAATCTGAATGAATTGTATACAGATGTAAACGACCGACTTAACAGCGCTTCATCATCACAAGCTCAAACGAAACAGACCAAAGCAAATACGGTAAATAACTGGTTGCAATGATAAGTGACAATGTGCCGTCATAGTCCACTGTGAATCACTCAGACATACTTCGCATTATACTTTCAAAATCTCAAATTTCGTAATGCTGCCCTCTTGATTTTGTCTTGCAGTAGTTACTTTTCCGCCTCCACGGCGTTTTTATACTAGTCAAAGTTTTTAGATACCTGAAAGTATACACTTTTTTCAGCAACTTCCAAAGTTCCATATATTTTTCATGTCATAAAGAATTTTAGTCATAAAATGCAATGAGAATGCCTCGCGTTCATTCTTGCTCTCCTATTCTACCTAAAACATTTATCAAAAATGGCAGTACTCATTTATTATTCAAGATGAATTTAGGTAACAGGATAGTCCTCTCCTTGTCTTGAATTGAACAATGAGGATGTATAATTGGTTAAAAACTGCCGGAAGTAACTCATAAATCTTTTGTAAGAAAATGCATTCTGTCAAATTGTGATTTGCATTTGATAAAACAAAAAACTATTAGTGTTTAGCTAAATTTTACTTCATATATATATTTTCCACGGTCAGCAGAACAGTAGTCCTAGGGAACACAAATTATTTCTAAGTAAAAACTTTTAAAAATTACCCCGAATGCCACACAATCTCTAATAGTTTTACGCTGTCGGTTCCAGTGAGTGTAATCCTGTTCACCTATTAGAAACATTTAGTTCTCTAGTTATACCTTTAAATTATCACGCCATATTTTTTCTCTAAGACTGGAAGAACAAGTATAATATCAAGTAATATTTATCAAAATGGAACTATTACACTCTGGTTTAAACCTTCAACTTGTAGCTACTAGGTTATGGATTTGAACTTCTCTGAACCTAGGGAGGTTTGACCAGTCAGACTGTATTATTGACCGTAACAGAGTGAATGTGGTTTACTGAACAAAACTGGATGAAATGCAACAAGGTTAGTGAGTAATAACAGCAAGAAGGAAAGCAAAAATAATCTTCGTCGAAATTAAAATTTGAATGGAAAGTCATTCAAATCCCCCACAGACGATATCTTTATGACTTTATTATATACACAGATGTATTCTACATTATATACTGACACATATCATATTCATTTAGAAGAAACTATAATTTAATTTACCGAGATTTGTGGATTTTCAAGTATTGGTTTTGTAGGGATTTTTGTTTGATTGCATGGAGGATTTCATCATAAGCTAACATCAGTTAGAGAACCACTGGAAAACCTAGGGGTACTGGACAGCTATTTTGTCCTAGTTTGGCACTCTTCATCGGTACGCACCCACCGGGGTTCGAACCCAGGACCTTTTGGTCACAAGGCGAGCTAGCTCGTAGACCATTGAGCCATTGGGAGCCGATCCAATAGTCCTTGAATTCTAACTTCTGCCAATTCACGACATAACGTGACCATTTCGCAATGTCTTCTTCGATGAGTTATTGCCTGCTGTACCCTACTGGTCATGGCTTCCCACTAAAATTGGGTTTGTCATTCTTTGTAATTTAACAAGATATTTTTGCATCTGATGGTATATAGGTAAAAAAATTATATTTTGAGATCATGCAGGAACAGAGTTTCATAGCTGTATTTGTTGACACTACTAACTAAAGTTAATACAAACACTCCTTCATGATGAATGAAGGCATTTTGCCTTAGAATAAGAATTTTTGGTATAAGGATTGAAATTCCTTTTCACAAGATTAATGATTCTAACTTATCTTATTTGTCCACCATGTAAGATATAAAAATTCAGTTTATGTTTTTCAAAAAAGGTCATAAACTATTATCTGTGGATGAATACAAATCAGTCTTTTTCTTTCTTTTCAGGCTTTCCCCGTATATATAGATGAATATGGGACACGTACTGGTGTATTCGTATCCTTAGTGAAAAACCAACCTTCCAATCAAAGCGCGTATGTTTTGGAATACATTTACCTTAATTTATATCATATATTGATGCTGAAACTATCTGAGAAAACTTTCAGTTGACAGATTGTTGTTATTGATGCAATTTGTGGTGACTGATAGTGAAACGAAAATCTGATTCGCTGTGGGATCTGTATCAGAGGCTTCTAATCCTTTATTCCGATGACTTAGTAGCTGAGCTATATGATTCAACTATCAACTAATTGATTATTTCACTGAAATCACGATGAGTAACACCCAGATGACTTGTGAATGAATGAAACTTAACTAACTGTTTATCACCACACTAACTGTCAAGCAAATTTTACTCCTGTCAATCTTAATCACACTGAATTGAAAGAAGAGGTGAATACGTTTGTTTATTTTCTAGTGTTTTCAGTATAATCTGAGTTCACAGAAACATTTAGAGTGGGCTATTTAAATACACTGATAGATACTTAGGCATTAGTTACAGGTCTTCAATAAAAGGTAGTAGTATCTTTATCACTGTCTACTCGACTAATCAACTAAAGCTTATTTCTGATTGATGAATTAATTTCAGAGAATACCCATTAGTGAATAAATCATGTTCTGTTTGGCAATTCTTCTTCTATAGGTTATGCAGTTTTATGTTCGTCCATACTACATAAAGCATAATTAGTGTTAATGATGTTTTCAAATAACATCGAATCATTAGGAACAAAAATCTAAGAGGTTATTGGAAGTGGACTATTACTAGATTACAGTTTAAAACATGTGTTTATGATAATATTCATAGATATGAACGTCAAAGTTCAAAGTGTACGATAGCATTTATATATTTAACCTAAATCTAATCAGTTACTGACAACTATATGCTAGAAATGCATTACGTAATGTCTGGTGTGATCAAGGAGGGAGTGACTAAGTAAAGGTTAAAAACGGAAGTTGGAATTACGTAATAAGTGGCAAAAATAGTCTAATTAAACTAAGTAGACAAAGTGGGTGGAAGCTAGTGGAAATTTTAGTAGTGTTTATTATAAAAAGTGGTTAGTTTTAATGTGACAGGTCTCTATTCTAACATTCCATTAAATGTAACTCTGAAAGTAGTCAGGAATCAGGTAAAAATTAATCCTATACTCAGCTGAAGAAATAATATTGGGCGTCCAATTATGTCTGACTTCCACAGACTTTAAATTTCAAAAGAGAATATACAAATAAAGAAAAGGGGTTGCGAATGGGATCAGTAATATCCAATATTTATGGACAGTTGGGACTATATGGCATTGAGAATGCTTATTCCTTCTCCTAAGTTATAGTGGTCGATACATTTGCCATGTTGACATTTGATCATAACGCTTTTTTTCTTTGCACACATGAACTGAACAGTTGACAATTACCTGTTCACTTTCGAGTTAGCATATGGATGATGTGATCTAGTTATGCTAGATAGCAAAATAAAACTGAAACGGCATGGGGGCTTTAGATACTAGTATCTGTTATAACTTTCACATTCTGATAGTTACTGCGACTTTGAATTATCCCACCCAAAATCAGTAAAGGTAGGTTTCATTAGATGTTTTTCTATCCCAGTCAACAGCTTGACCAGTGAGTGAGGAAATTTAAGTAATGAAATTAAACAAACAAAGGAAACATTACTAGTAACTGATTACGCATTCGAATTCATTCAAGAGTTTATTAAGACCAGCAAGAAAAGGAAGAGCAACCACAGCTAATAATGACAGAATATAACTATTAAGGAATTTAAAGCCTTCATAGCACTTCTGTGATGGGAGAAGATAAGAGATTTGGTAATGAACATTTACTAAGAAAAACATCTTCAACCACATTAAAGTTAGGCTAGGTCAGAGGAGAATAAATTATTCTGATTGGCTGGAAATCGGCCAAGGTCAAACAAGTTGTCCGATGGGGTTATTTCAAGTCCACAACGTGAACTAATTCCGAATTTATAGAATAAACGCTTTTACCTTTGCAGCGATTGATTCAAAATGTTAGTTTCTCTTTTGGCTGCTTTTTGTCAATCTGCATCAGGCTATGTTGTTAAGATATTAGAGCTGACAGTTCGGATGTTGTTCGTTGCCTTGAGTGCTGTTAATCTGCTCACTGATTTCAGAAAAATGAATACCTGTCTTGATTTTCTGATTTTATCTTGTTTTGAAATAGTTATCCATACCTCTAGTAGTTGAAATAATGCGACCTAACTTGGTAAGTGAGAGAGAAGACTTCCTTCGCACTTCTGCCCCTGATAATGACTGGTGGTTGTTGTGGTTGGTTAGGCATCTTCACCACCTCTATCTTCCATATATGCACATGAAGTCCCGTCTTGGCCGAATTTCCCTCCAATTTGTTGGTTTCCGGCTGTAGATCTTCGAGTTTGTGCGGTATTGAATACAAATTATCTACAAAGTCCAGATATTCTAGAATCTGTCTGTAGGTTCAATGTATGTTCGTCTTCCTAGTCTCTCCTGTTTATCTTGTGATCCAGTTCATCATAGTGAGGAGGGTCATCGGTGATAGTAGGCAGCCTTGTCTTACTCATTTCTTCCCTTCAAGACCTTCACTAAACTTTTCGTTGTAAATCAATTGGCATGTGGCATCATCATATAGCTGTTGAATTAAATTTACAAAAGCTAATTTTTTTCGATATAGAAAGAAAGACCAGATTTGCAGTATAAAATGCTATCATTCTATTTCACAGGTTCTCATCAGCTGCAAATTGCCTGAAAATACAATGGTTATAAATAATAACATTTCATACTTCAATGTTTGAAAGTTAATAAAGGAAACATTATAGCATGAACACATCGGGAGTATAAGTACTACAATTATTTTTAGTTTAAGTTGCTATCAATTTATATACTATCAAGCTATCAGAAAAGGGGAGTGGGGTGGGAGAAGACAGAAAACAGAAAAATCTGATAAACAGTGGTAGTTTGTACGTCAAAATGGCAACACAGGAAGGTTAAAGTTCATCAAATTGAAAACTTGCTCAGTGAGCTGAGCTCACTAGTGTGTATGACTAATCAGTGTTATGAAAGTAATATGATTACCAAGGGAATGAAAGATTGACTACACTCTCTTTCTGTGTGCATAAGATTGTCTGAAACGTTTGATTGCAATTGCTTCATGAAATCGTAGTAGATTCACTGTGCTTTGTATGCTTAATATTTTGAAGGATTTGGAAATATCGACAAAATGGCCTGAGATATCCACAAGCGTAATTGCACTTGCAAATATCTGTTTCCTTTTAAGCAAAAGTTTCTCGGAATATACTCTGAAAACCGGATAGAAGCCCTTCTGTCTGTCCTTCCAATGTACTTGCTGCCGCAGGTGCGCGTAAATTTATAAATACAGTCGGAGGTAACATCGGCAGGGTACTTATCCAGTTTCGATTGTTTTATAGAGCATGTAGTGCTGTATAGTGTCATCAGCTTTAGGGAAGCATCTCTTTATTGCTCCTTTCATCCTCTTTTCAATTTTTTGTGATATTGCTTCTGCTTTGTTTGAAATGCAAATGAACACTTTCTTCTTTTCTTTATTACCTTTCAAACATTGAAGTATGAAATGTTATTATTTATAACCATTGTAATTTTATACAGTTTGCAGCTGATGAAAACCTATGAAATAGAATGATGATATCATTTAATACTGCAAATCTGGTCTTTTTTGCTGTATCGAAATTTATCAAGGGAACAAAATGTTTGTAATTTTTGAAAAGACGCCTCCCTACCAAGTTTAATTCTTTCTCTAGTTATCCTCAATGGCATATCTTAATGGAAGGAATAAATAAATTGTAGTGATGCCTTAAATGGAAGCTGAAAGCATAAGTAAGAGATGAAAGATAAGTGGTACAGCAGTCTATTAGCAGCTGAAAAAATACTCTGAAAAATACTAAGAAATACTCTGAATTAAATGAAAGTCATCTATCTTGATACTGTCTGACTGGAATGTATGATTATATACCATTGTTGAGTATCAAGGAGTTTTTACGAGAAAAGTGTTAGATATGGTGTCTGTCTGTGCTTGCGATTTTCCCTTCAACCTTTCTGGACCAAATCAGCATAACTTATCGGGCAGAATGGACCCTAGTTTCTAATCTAAAATTACTTGTCTGACGGTCAGTCGGTCGGTCGGTTTTCGACATAGAACTTTGCACTTATGTGCGCCAGTTCAAGTCGCCACACTCCCTTCATGTAGCACACAAAGCAAGAGAAGAAAGTAGAAGAACTGCATAATATAGACAGTAAACAGAGGTGTGAGACAAAGGAATAGTAATAACGGAGAACAAAACAGTTTAATTGGAAATCATAAGTCACAAGGAGTGGATGCATCTGTACCAGCCACTGACAACGATTTTGAGCCATGTCACCAATTGTTTCCAACCATTGGTTTTTACCGTCCCGAGGACCCCAACCAGTCAGGAGGTCTACACCTTCCTACGTGGCTGGCTTAGACTAACTGTTGTAGATTTCATTGACTGGTGCCATGTTTTCGTTTGACCACCGCTAGCTCTTTTCCAGCCTGGCCCTATATCAGCTAACATTGCCCGTCGAGGAAGGTGATGACTAGGCATACGTAACACATGTCCTAACCATCTCAGTCGATGTAATTTCAGAGTTTCGTCGATTGATTTCCCCGCCTTACCTAGCACTCGACGCCTAACCTGAATATTGCTCACCTTATTATACCACTTCACACGCGAGATAGAACGCAGACACCTATGATCGAAGACAGCTAGTCTTTTCATGTCTTCTGCTCTCAATGGCGACGTCTCACAGCCATAAAGGAGGACGGAGCGAACTGATGAGCAGTACACACGCCCTTTGGTCGACAGCCAGCCGGATATCGCGTCTACGCGAGAGACGGCGTAAACTGGCATATGCGAAACTAGCCTTCTGTATTCGTGCTGAGATTTCGTCAGAGATCAACCCGTTGGGGCTGATGGTACTTCCCAAGTAAGTGAAGCGGTCAACGTGCTCTACCACTTCACTTCCTATTTCTAATCTAGGGGTCGGTGTAGTCCAATCCTGCAGCATCATCTTACATTTTACAGGGGCGAATCGCATGCCAAACATACGAAGATTGTTGCTCAAGGTGTTCAGTAGACTCTGCATTTTGTCAGCGTCCTCGCCTAGAAGGACTATATCGTCTGCATATTCTAAGTCAACGAGATTCTTCCCTGGTAGCAAGTCAATCCCTGAGTCTCTGAAGTGAGTTAGGGTTAAGTCCATTAGTATGTCTATGATAAAGTTGAATAGGAATGGGGATAATGGGCATCCTTGACGGACGCCACTAGTCGTCACCACTTCAGATGAAAACTCGCCATAAGCCCTCACCTGGCTGCATAAGTACGAGTAGAGTGCCTTAATCAGTGCTATGTATGTATGTCTGACGGTAGCGCACAAGATTTGCTCCTAGTGCCATTCGGGACTCATCAGCTGGATTTACCCGTTTTCTAGTCAATGCTGGTATGTTCACTGAAGCTTGAATCCAGTCTGATGAATTCGACCCAGATATTACAAGAGAATATTATAAACATGAAGAAATAATTTCACTTTTTATTTTGTATTTTCTACATCTTGATAAATTGAATAGCTGGTTGTAGAACAAAATCTTTTATTCGTTTATATATGAGCATCATTTTAGAGGTCCGGTAGTAATTTACTACGATTATGTGTGTTTAACTGCAAGTACTTTACACATTTGCACAATAAACAGCCAGCTGTGGTGGTTATATAATTTTATGTACATTTTAAATAAGCACAGGAGTAAGTGACTTTGTGTCAGTAAATTATTTGTGAAATAAACAATCTCTAGAAACTACTTCTGAGTCAGTGTAAGAGTGATTTCACTCCCGCCTACCAATATTTTTCAATAACAGACTATTGTAGACATTCTGTCAAATAAAAATACGATCGAAGAGTCAGCTAATAATTAAGATTTTAAACTTGTAGTTATTTGTAACATTTCATTGAAGATTGAGTCTTAAATCCACAACAATGAGAGAATCACTAGAAACCAGTGAGCCTTGGATAGGTGTTTCATCGAACTTTGGAACTTTTCAGTAGTGCGTACGCTCAACCTCACCAAGCAGTGAATTTAGGATATCTAGAATAAGGGCCAAATTCAGTCATTTGTTTGGTCAGTGGTTTTAGGACGGTTGTTCTGAAGTTCTAGTGAGGTTCACTATATCGTGTCTAAAGTGAATGCTTATCAACGGTATCGATTGGCGGTGGCATTCTGTCGTAAATTAACAGAAGTTAAAATTGGATGCAGTGGTTCCCCATACCATTCATTCGAGAAGTTGGAATTCATAGGATACTGTATATTAACTCAACGGCTAAATGGTCAGTGGGTTTGGCTGGTGATCTGAAGGTTTTGGATTCTATCCTGAGTGGGTTTACCAGTGCATACTATTGAAATTTCCCTAACTAGAAACAAACGACTCTCTAGTTCTCATTGGTTTACAGTGATTCTCTCATTGCCATCTTTCTGTGATGACATTTTCATTGAAATTAATTACTAATCCTGTTTCCTGATGACTTCAAAATGTGAAAGGTATCAGAGTGTTCTTCATTATTATTATTATTATTCCCTTGAGTTCCAAGTGGAACATAGGGCTTCAACAACACATCTCCACCTTGTCCTATCTTCTGCTGTCATCTTCAGCTTGGACCATGGTTGCCTATAATGTCTCATCTCCTCCGCACACAATCTCCTCCATGTCACCCTAGGACGACCCACTCGTCGCTTCCCACTGGGATTACACTCGAGGGCCTGGCGCGCAATGTCATTCGATAGTCCCCTCAACATATGCCCGATCCATCTCCATTTTCTCCTACATATTTGTTGATCCATCGGTTCTTGGTTAGTTTGTTCCCACAGTTTCTAGTTACTTATTCTTTCTGGCCATTTGATCTTCAGTATGAAGCCAGCCAGAGAAGGCAGCTGTTGATGAAAGCCTGCAACCTGTTAGAAAACCCCTTCGTTACATGCAGTGAAAATTTCTGACCCGTATAGAAGGATCGACTTTACATTGGTGTTGAAAATGCGAATCTTGTTCATTATGTTGAGTGCAGAAGATTTCCAAAATGGTTTCAGGTTGATGAAGGCGTATCTTGTATTTCCGATTCTGACTTTGACATCATCCGTTCCACCTGTAGTTGAAACGATGCTTCCTGGATAAGTGAAGAAAGTAACCTCTTTTAAATCTCTCCCGTTGATGGTGATTGGTGCCGGTTGTTGTTGGTTGGTTGTCTTCATCACCTCTGTCTTCTCTGTGTTCACGTGGATTCCTGTCTTTCCTAGCTGCTTCTTCGGTCAGTTTGTTGGTTTTCATCTGCAAGTCTTTGAGTTTATGTGACATTAAATATATATCATCTGCGAAATTCAAATCTTCTAGAGTCTTCTCATTGGTGGTCCAGCGTACTCCTGTCTCCTCGCTCCACACAGTCTAACGCATAATCCAGTCCACCACAATTAAGAATATCATCGGTGATAATAGGCAGCCTTGTCTTACTCCTGGCGTCACTTCGGACGCCTCAATGAGGCTCCCGTTGTGGATCACCTATCACGTGGCATCATATAGCCAGCTATTGAATGAGGTTGATAAAGACTTGGGCACTGCATGCCGTAGTGTTGGAGTAGCTTCCAAATTACTTCTCAGTCAACGCTATGGAAGGCCTTTTCAAAGTCGATGAAGTTGAAGTAGAGGTTTGACTGCCATTCTATGCTTTGTTCGATGACGATGTGTAGCGTGGAAATTCAATCACCACATGATTTTCCTTTGCTGAACCTAGTTTGTTCCGGTGGGCGGAGTTCTGTATCCAGTGCATCTTTTATTCTTTCCAGGATGATGCGACTTAGTATTTTACTTGACATGGACAAGAGCGTGATTCCACGCCAGTTCTTGCACAGGCCTAGGTCGCCCTTCTTTGGCAGCTTGACGAAGTAGCTAGCTTTTCTTTCACTCAGTAGGCACCTTGTGTTCTTCGTTACAATGGCTTTATATAAATTTAGAGTTCTTACCACGATTTACTAGGCGTATTGGCTTATTTTTCTCTTCAGATTATTGTGATATCTGAATTATCTGCTCCGTATTATTTTTATTCTTTCTTCTGTATTTTCAGTATTTTCATATTCACTGAATCACAAAATCTCGATGTCAATCAAACCGATGTTATTTTAATGGATATATTTATATTGGAGGATGTACTGAGTTGTGAAATGGGTAAGAATATGCAAACATATTTATTCTATTCTTAACAAATATGAACAACTCTATAGATTATAGTATAACAGTAATGCCATGTAGCTTACCTGGAAATATCATAGTTCTGCATGACTGACTGAGTATCAACACAGAACTTTGCACGGAAAGGCAGCAACTCCAGTTGCTACACTCCATTTAGCCTACAAAGGTAGACGAAAGGAAGACAGAAAAAAATAGATTCTAACCAACTATAATGAGCATAAATGTGTGTGTTCGGGGGTGGGGTATGGAGTGAGAGAATAGTAACATTGAAAAATGTAGCAGTTTAGTGGATATGCGAGCTCGTAAAGAGTGAATGCACCTGTGCCGTTGAAAACGATTTTGAACCACATCACCAGAAGTCTGCGGACATTTGTTCTTAGAATCCTAAGGATCTTAATCAGATGATCCACACTTCCCATTGTGGTTCACCCTAACGGTCAAGTGCTTCATTGATTGATACCAAATCCTGATTTGACCACTATTAGTATTTTCAACTTAATAATAAGTCAGCTATCATTTTTTCGGCAAGGAAGATGGTGGCTTTTCATGTACAACACGTGTTGCTTCAAAACCTGACCGATTGACTTTCTCTTCGTACCTAACACTTTGTGCTTATCTTCAATATAACTTACCATATTATACCACTTAACACAAGAGATAGAACGCACATATCTTTGGTCAGATGCAGCTGTAAAAAATAGTTTGATAACTTTCAGCCAGTAGAATAATAAGTGAACTTACGTGTCACTAATTGAGATTTACATGAATATGTAAGATCTAAAATCTTCACACTATATGACAATGACTTGTGTTTCATTATGTAAACCCACATTCAGTAATTGCTTTACACCTAATTCGTGATTGAGAAAAGAAATAAAAAAGTAACATTAGTTGGACATTGGAGATTAATTATTGTTATGTTGTCCATTGCCTAATGCTGTCTGAGCTCTTTTTGTCACTTTTGGAATGTGGTGGTCACTGAGTTAGGAGAATGTTCATCTTTGTGCAATACTACCTGACGTTAAGTGGCAGTCAGGGGTGGTGAGAAACATATCCTTAACCCAAAGGGTTTACTTTCATCGTAAATGGTTTACAACCTTGAAGGAACCAATGTTCTCTCTGAGATTCCAGTCCGTGGGAACGTAGTCAGTTGAGAAGGGATTAATTTTCAATCTGAAACACCGGTAAGCTATGGTGTTATAATGACCTGTAGCAGAATTCAGATGAATTCAAATCTGTTGGTTTAGTTTAAGTGTTTCAATTTTAATATATTTATTCAGGGATTTTATTCTGCAATTCTGGATTTTTGTGTGTCTTCTCAAAGTTTTGATTTTCAGTCTGAAGAACTAATTTTCAGCCTTGTATTTCTGTCTGACAGTCAATAAACTGTTTTTGGGAGAACCTTCTCAGTTATCATAGTGTAACAACAGAAGACAAGGACCAGGCAACAGATCGTTTATTAAGAAAAATCAGCACATATTTATAGATTTTAATGTAGATTATTGTTATTAGAAAATACAGTCTTTTGATTGGTTGTTTCTCACAGAAAGTTAACCTTGCATCTTTGTGGCTGTGTCAGATCATCTATATGCTAACTGCATCCGCCTACGCAAAGCCTTTGTTCTCATTTTCTCACCACCAATATTGGGGACATAAACATTGACGTCAATTGCTGTCTACCAACTTTAGCTAGCAGCCAGCTCTCACCACAATATGACTTCTATTTATAATTGTTTTTGGTTATTTAGTAAGTTAGGTGGTCTTCCTCAAAAAATACATTTTGATTACATAGTTTCAATTAGAAGCTTTTGGAATCTCCTTGATCTAATTCATTAACTGGATCAGATATATCTTTCAGCGTTTCGGATGTAGATTTCTTTAAGTGTTTTGGTAGATGTATTCAACACTTCTGTGCATATTTAAGGCAAACAGTATTTCGTAGTGAAAGTACTACAAAATGAAGTCTTCCTCAACTGCTGAATGAAGACGAAGGGTGGGGGTGGGTGAAACGTTTGTATTACTTTCTTTTACGGAACGAAAACTATTTGCTTGAAAAGGAAAGCTGATTATTTGTTTGCATTTTCAGCTTACTACTAAGTAGGTAGATGAATAACGACCGGCTGACGAATTCTGGTTTAAAAAGTAGCATTAGATCATTTAAACATTCACAGTACTAGTAAGAGATGTAAGTTGAATAACAGTGTCTAAACGTATGATGCACAAAGTATTTTGATAGTAGTTGTTAAAGCGAATGTTAGTATGATTCAGGCCATATTTTCGAATTCTCTGTATATTCCTATTTCCACAAAACAGACTAATGAAAATAAGTCTACAGTGAAAAGGAAATAGCTATATTTAGTCACCGACCAACAATATTTGGGGAATCGTTGAAAACCAAGGAGTACTGGACAGTTGTTTCGCCCTGGCTTGGAACTCTTCAATAGTGCATACTCATGACGCTCTTAGGAGTTAGACTAAGAACCTTCAGGTTACCAGGCGAGTCCTTCATGATTCAGTTACTCGGACGGGATGCAATAACCCATAATGGAATGTAACTTGAAGTAGCTGAAATCCCAAGAGGATTAACACTTGAGTATAAAAAAAGATTCAGACAGTTAGAAAGGAATGCAAGAGCAACTTTCATAATCTGATCAACATTCAGTAAGATAGTCTGTGTTTCTAGAGATACTCGATCACCCAAAAATGAACAATAAGAAATTCAAAATTCCTTAAAGCAAAAATAACAGTTCCAATGAGTTGTACGAGAAATGGTTCTGGCAACTTAGCATCAGTCTATTGAAAAATGCACTGGCTTCTTGGAATTTTCTGAACACTTTCTGGTACTCATATGAGTTCTCAATTAAGAGACTTGCAGATATGGATTAAATTAGCCGGTTAATAAATAATAAGCCATTCAGTGAAACGATCCAATATTAGGTCAGCGAGACTATCACTATCAATGTAGGTGAATACAATCTTAAGAAAATGCTAGGCAATGGTCACTTACAGTCATGGTAATCGAGAAAGACAGAAATTCTACCCATCAATAAGCTCATTTCACATTGAAATTAGTGTTAGAGATCTTGTCTGTCAAGGAGGAGGATACAACAACACTAAATGATGTCGGGGCGTTTGGTAGTCTAATATCTTAGGTTACGTAGGAGAAGATAGTCTGTGATCAAATAAAAAGTTTGTTAACCAACAGGCGATTGTTTTCTTATTGTCACAAATGTGTTTTCCTACCACAGTATGCTTTGCATTAATTTGTTTAAAGTGAAATGCTTAGCTTATTAACGATTTGTGCCACTGTTTTTTGCACTGTTTAGACCTTTCAGGTTGTATCCAGTTAACTGGAAAACGATTAGTGAACACTGTTCGTTTCGGTAAACAATCAGTCTATGATAATTTTCATCCTTTTACAATTCTATGTAATAATAATAATAATAATGGTGAGCAGAACTCAACGCTCAAAGAAGATAATGGTGATGTAACCACTGACAGTGAATTATTCATATCTGATCGTATAAAGAAAATAAGTAAGGGGAGAAAACAGGATGAAACCAGAGTTTCAAGTAAGTTTTAGGCATAGATTTTCATTTACAAAATTTATAAAAGACCAATTCACCACAATTAATTGACAAGTTACTCCTCTCTTTCTAGTTCAGTATGATTAATGTTGATAAAAGAAGGTCTTAGCTGAGCGAACAGCGTGATGATAAACGTTTAGATTATGGGTTTTTGTAGGAATTTGGATTAATTTCAGTGTGAACTTTGTCATGAACGAAAATGAGCGACTGGTCCTATTCAGGCAGTTAGCCTGGGGTTCTAGTGAGAAGCCGTGACCAGTAGGGTACAGTAGGTTGAAGATGAGGCAGTAACTCATCGAAGAAGACATTGCGAAATGGTCGCGCTATGTCGTGAATTAGCAGAAGTTAGAATTCAAGGACCATTGGATTGGATCCCAGTGGCTCAATGATCTACGAGCTCGCGGGCTTTGTAACCAGAAGGTCCTGGGTTCGAACCCTGGTGTTGGGTGCGTACTGATGAAGAGTGTCAAACTAGGACGAAACAGCTGTCCAGTGCTCCCAGGTTTTCCAGTAATTCTCCAACTGATGTTAGCTTATGATGAAATCCTCCATGAGTTGGAGATCGTTGGAAACCAGGGAACACTAGGCCGTTTTTCTATCGTAGTTTGAGAGCCTTCACACAACCTTAATCTTACCAGGGATCGAACGTGATACCTTCAGTTTGCTAGACTAAGCTGATTGAACATTCAATCACGGGAACGGAATCCAATGATCTATGAATTCTAACTTCACCAATTCGTGATATATCTCTACCTTCAATCAATGTCTTCGGTGATCATCTACTTCACCTTGACACAGTGAACTCCAACGTTTGATTACTTCTCAGCACGGCTATATGATATCCATCTAGTTAACCATCAGTCAGCTGAAGATTAATATTCAGATTATGAATTTTCCTGGGGATATGGATTGATTTCACTGAACCAAAATCAAATTGGTCTCGTATTGAAATACAGAAATGTATCATTCGTTCGCATGAGAGCTGGGCATTACTTGCAGTGATTTTAGGGAAATAATCACTTGCTTCACACCTGAGTCTTGTTTCTCAGCTGAAAGATTGAAGGACTAGTGATTTGGAAACTACTAGTTCGGATCATCGCGTGCTATATCAGTAACCTTCTGCCAGTCTAAAGCTAACTCAGATAGTCTCACAATCATTTTATAAAATTGCATGTTATGTGATTTCAATACAAAGTGGGTTGATAAAGGTTAAAAAAAGGCTTACGTTTTTGTTAAGGGGTTGGGCTTATTTAGTTCAGTAAATGAAATTCGAAAGGACATTAATAGGGCAAAGGAATCTACTATAAAAGTGATGTCATCAACTAGACTATAAATTCTTGGACACATAACAAAAGGATAAGCAAATTACAGAACTGTTTTCGGTCAGAGGTCAAAATAAAGTGAATAAAAAAAAATAAAGTTACATAATGCAAATAGCGACTAAAATAAGTTGATGAACATGAGATGAATAATGATTAATGATAAGGACGTCCTAGGAAAGTAAACTGGTTATGGAGGTCATGGGAAATTAAAGGTGGATTAAATTTTTAGATGGCTTGACTGCACTTCCTTTGTGAGTGAGGCCTGATAGAACTTTTTATAAGATTTTGAAAGTGAATAGAAATTAAGCTGTGTCCTGAATTCACATGATGCTCTATTATCAAAATGAACGCACAGTTTCATTCCTTCTTTGTTAAGCAGGCAAGCAGGCGCATATTACGGAGTATGTTATTATTATTATTGTTCCCTTGAGGTCTGACCGGTACACAGGGCTTCAACAGCACATCTACACTTTGCTCTATTTTCTGCTTTCATCTTCAGCTGAACCCAACATTGCCCATTATCTCTCATCTCCTCCTCATCAAACGATCTCCTAAATATCACCCTCTCAATGACGAATCAGTCGTCATTTCCTATTCGCATTCCATTCGAGTGATGACCTCGATTGAACGCGATGTTATTCATCGACCTCTTTAACATATGCTCGATCCATCTCCACTTTCTCCTGTATATTTGTTGAGCAATAAGTTCTTGGTTAATTTCTTCCCAGAGTTCCTTGTCACCAATTATGACTGGCTGTCTGCCTGGCCATTTGATCTTAAATATGGAACCGGCGAAGGCAGCTGTTGCTAATAGTCTGTAGTAGCCTGTTAGAAATGCCTTTCGTGACGTGCTGGCCGAGTTTCTGACCGATATGGAAGAACTGACTGATTTCATGTTGGTGCTGAGAGTCCGAATCTTGTTGTTTATGCTGAGTTAGTGCAGAAGATTTCCAAAATGGTTTCAGATTGATGAAGTTATATTTTGCCTTTCCAATTCTCTCTAGCTTTTGACATATTCATCCGTTCCACCTGTGGTTGAAACGACGGTGTAGGTGTAACAACAGAAGACAAGGGCCAGGCAACAGAACGTTTATTACGGAAAATCAACACATATTTATAGATTTTAATATACGTTATTGTAGATTAATGTTAGTAGAAAATACAGTCTTTTGATTGGTTGTTTCGCACACAAAGTTAACCTTGCATCTCTTTGTGGCTGTGTCAGTTCATCTATATGTTAACTGTCTGCTGTCCATCTTTGACCTTGTTTTCACATGACTAATATTTGATACATAAACATTGACCTCAATTACTGTCAACCAATTTGGCTAGCAACCATCTCTCACCACATAGGTACTTAACCCCAAATGAAGCAAGTAATTTGGTATATACTTAACAAGAATAGAATGTTAAAACCAAGTAATTAACATATTATGTTAAAATAAATATTAGGAAAGGAAAGTACTAATTTCTAAAAATTGCTAGAATAACCTTAGGTAGTAATCTGAAAAGGTAGGGGAACACGTGGAAAATGAGTCACTTGACTTAGTTATTTGGATGCAGAATGATACTACACAATAAATTAAAACTAAAAATAATAAATGAGGTGACTTAAAAACTGGCACAAAATAAGACAAATGTGTCTCTTGAATTTAAGTCTGTGGTAGGCAGTACATTTTGAAACATATGTAAAAGTGTATAATTTCATTTGTCACAGTGCTGGTGTTCAACAATAGAATTCTACTTAGAAATGATGAGAGGATATCTGTGGCTAAAGTAGATTTTTCCTGACTTTTCTCTAAAGCAAAAAGACCAAATTTGCAGCATAAAATGACGTTATTTGATGATATTAGATGGTTGGAGGCAATCGGTCACAGGAAGAAGCCTTGGACCTAGGTTTGGTGCTAGTTGGCGCTTGTCAGCAAGACGTATCTGAAACCAGGTTGAAGGAACTCATGTCCCTTCTAAGATTCGAACCCGCGTCACCCAGTGCTGCAGTTAGACACGTTACCATCGATTGACCTCCTGTAGGACTGTACTGGATATTTTTACTGGACTCTAGTAACCAGTGTGATGTGTCTAGTCCTTTGTTTGGTGCGGACTGAACTGCCTCAAACCATCTAATGTCATCAAATCAATGTGCACCGTGATGACGAGCTACCTAGAATGGTGGCCACATTGCAAACCTGGCTGATAGAATTCAGTCTGCACCAAACAAAGGACTAGACACATCACACTAGTTACTAGTGTTCAATCAAAATGACGTTATCCTACTGCATAGACTATCATCAGCTACAGACTAACTGGAATTACAATGGTTATGAAAGAGTGAAAACAGCATACTTCATTGTTGAGATGACATCAGAGAAAATGTTATAAGAAATAAGGTTTCAGAAATTTAAACATCACAATTTTTAAGTTGTAGCCATCAACAATCTATGTGTAACTCATCGTGGGAAGCTGGAAGGAGGAGAAGAAAGAAAGTGGGATGAAACACTTAACAGTGTTTGCTGACAGGATCATGCAGTAACTCAAGAAAACTGCAATGAAATCAGTAATATGGATGATTACGCAATTAGTCGAGTAAGAGTTGAAATTTGGTTATCAAAGGAATAAGAGATTCAATACAGTCTCTTTCTGCATGCATAGGATTGGTTTAAAACGTTTGATGGTAATCTGTTCTGCCAATCTCGGTGAATTAGTTGTCTTCAGCTCATCTGTTAAAATGACGTCCTTTTGTTACTGCAAATTTGGTCTTTTTTGCTTTATCGAAATTTTATAATGGGAACTATTTGTGTGACGTTTGCTGACGTTGTTCTGTTTGCTTTACTGGTTTTTTAATTTATAGAGTTTTCGTTGTCCTTTGAGACTATGTTTTCCATGCTAACTTCAGTACTATTTGAAGTTTCAAATTACAGAAACACATATACATGTGGCCTACTGGTTTAGGCAGTCAGGTGAGAGGCAATGGGCCCGTGGTTCGAATCCCACTTCGCCTAATTCAATCAATCTGAACTACTATGTAGTATCATAAGCTTTCCGACAATAAGAATGCCTTATAGTCTGATACACAAGAAATTTGTTTCAGGTAGCTGAACTCTAATGACAACAGCAATATTATACTTTCATTACGTGACTTTCTCATCCTATGAAGTAAATCAATTGTGAATATGCTCAAAATTCTAAGCAGTAGAATTAAATTATTATTCTTTATCCCGTGGATTTTGCGCGGAGCATAGAGCTTCAGCATTGTTCTTTTTTGTTTTCCTAGCTGGCTGCACAATCGTCCACAAGCTGTCATCTCTTCTTCAAATGGTCTCCTTCATGTTACTTTCAGACCCACACCAAACTTTTTGCTTCCTATTCGGGTCCCACTCGACGCTTTGGTGTCTTATGCCACTCAATGGTCACCCTTGGGAGTGTCTATCCCATCTCCATCTCCCACTGTATGTTTGTTGGGCAAAAGTTTCTTATTTGGCTTGTTGCCAGAGTTCTTTGTTGATGTCTGATAAGTGCTTTGATATATGTTGCTAGTTTGATCCTTTCTTTAGTGTAAAGAGAAACATAACCTCCAGACTACATTAGTTTCTTGAGATCAGTTTGTTACAGACCAGAAGCGAGGTTTTCAAAATAGCACACAGAAGTTTGTAAACATACTTCTTTCTATTCAGTGTTTATGGTCAATGTATGACGAATTCTGAATTAAAGTTTTTTTCCAAAGTTAGGCTGAAATACACACATACCATCTACAATGACTTTTCAGAAGCAGAGAAAGCAGGGACGCCAGATTATTTGCGATGACTGAATCGCCCAGTTTCTTAATTTACTACAGGCACTTACTCATGGAAAATACCCATAGCCTAGGACTGGTTAATACTTTAGAGGCGTGTCTTTTAAATGGTCGCGAACAAAAACTAAACAGATGAAGTTTTAGGCTACCCTTCAAAGAGAGTGTGTGGTGTTCAGAAGTTTCTACTTCTTTCTTCGTAGCTGTAGGTTATGTCAGTTAAAATTGGGAGATATGAAGTAGTTGGGTATCTTTGTCCATAGGCTTCAACATTCTTCCTTTTATATTAGATGGTATAATGTGGTCTGTAATAATGAGGTTACGCGTGGATTGTTGGATAGACAGAGAAGACTAAACAGATCAGGTTGCCATGATGCACCGATTGAGGTGCCTAGGACTTATGTTTCGCCTATCCAACCATCTCTTTCCTTGATTTATTATTATTATTGTTCCCTTAGGTTCCTAGTGGAACATAGGGCTTCAACTGCACGTCTCCACTTGTTTCTGTCTTCGGCTGTACTTTTCACTTGCATCCATATTAATCCATACTGTTTCAGCTCCTCTTCACACGATCTCCTCCATGTCACCCTTAGACGTCCCACTCGCCGCTACCCTTTCGGGTTCAACTCGAGCGTTGGCCTGACGCGCGATGTCACCCCGCAGCGGCCTCCTCAGTGAGTGTCCAATCCATCTCTACTTTCTCCTGCATATTTGTTGGGCGATCGAATCTAGTTTTGTTTGTTCCCATAGTTTCTTGTTGGTGATTCTTTCCGGCCATCTAATCTTCAGTATATAGAACGAAGACAGTTGTTGATACAGGTCTGCAACAGGCTGTTAGAAATATTCTTTGTGATCCGCCAGGTTTCTGATCCGTATAGAAGAACTGACTGACTTGACGTTTGTATTGAAAATCTGAATTTTGTTGTTGATGTTGAGTGACGAAGATTTCTAGATTGGTTTCAGGTTGATGAATGTGTTTCTCGCCTTCCTGATTCTCGATTTGACATCCTCGTCTGTTCCTCGTGTAGTTGAGACAATGCTCCCTAGATAAGTGAATGAAGTGGGAAAAGAGGTAGGACAGAATCAGTACATGATGACTGTTTAGGCCACAGGGGGTGGTGAAGACTGTCTGACTGGTATCTTTTTGTGATGCCAAGAATTAATAATTGAAAGCTGCTTGTGAAATGACTCAAGATGAGTTTCATTAACGCAGATGCATTCATTTCTTGTGACTTTCCACCTTTCAGAAACCCATATTTTTCTTTATGTAACGATTATTTTTTTAGCATCCTTATGCATAGCTGTATGAAGTCTGGGAACTTAAACAGATGTTTTTTGTTCTAAAATTCTATGCGAAAAGTTCATTGGATTTCAGGTAGAACTCAGTTTCTTTCACATTTTTATAAAAATGAAATAATGAAAATAAATTAAAAGAATAAATTATATAGATCGATTCCTAGCCAACGTATTGCATTTCTTATAGCTTCATTACTACATATATATTTTCAATTTTCACTAGTTATTTGTATTCGACTTCTTTCGCCATCATTTCTTGGTTTCTACATTGTTTTCTAAAGATCATTTCTTCTTGTCACTAATCAGTAAGTGCTTCTCCCCACTATAGAAGAATCTTGCAGAAAACACCACACACAATTCACCACTGATAAATCTCTGTCAGCAATACACTTTGCACTCGTACCATCGTCCAGAAGTTTCGAGTGCAGCCTCTCCGACCTTGTTGGTTCAATCCGCTCTTGTTGTGTCTTGATACTGTCGCCTTCTTCTTCGCACCATATCACTCTCCGAAGTTGGTTGGTGTTGACAATTTTTCGTTTATCTCCTCTTCTGATGGTATAAACTGGATCATGTCTCTTGGTAACAGTCTATGGATTTTCACAACTTGGAAAGAGTTGTCGTGAAACCTATCCACCTCCAGCTTCACATGATCCCGGGTTTCAAATATTATGCATTTCTTCTTAAAGGCATGAGCGTCAATCTTCTGTCTGTGCCTTACATTTCTGATTACTTCTTCCCGTCCCGTTTTTGATTTCTTCATACTCCACTGTTGGTAATGTGGTCAGGTCTCACTGTATATTTGTAGTCGTCGTTTCCTACCATGCATCAACTGAGACGGTGGTTTCATTGTTGTTCCCTGGACATAAGCACGGTGTAGCAGTAGAATCAACGGTAACTCTATCTCCTAATATACGTTTTGCCACAGACGAACAATTATTTCATGCCGCTCTAGATGACTAGTTCGGGATGTAATACGAAGCAGTGGAGAATTGTCAGGAGATACGTTCCCACAGTTTCCGGCGACTAATACAGGTCCATATGCCACTCAATCCCTTTGAACTCTTAGGCCCATGTGCACCGGAGATTTGGAATCAGCTATCTTAGGAACACCTGCATATCCATCAGTCCGTTTGGAAGCTCCAAACATTCGCATTAGCCCCCTTACTTTTGTGAAGAACAGCTGCGCTAAATAAGCGTAGTGAATAGGACCTACTTAACAGAGACTATAGACGCGGAGCCACATTAGAGCATTTTGAGCCGAGTTTAACCACCCTCAGCCGTACCCAGTTAGTTTATGTTAATCATTAATCTAAACTGGCAGAGATCCACATTTGTAGACGAGGGTGAATTGAGGTGTCTAGACTGGATATTCATGTAAGACTGGCTAAATAAAGATTTCTGTCCGTCACTCCTTTCTTAAGATATTCCCAATATACAGAAATTGAATTCAGACAAAAGAAATGATTGAATACAAAATATTACATAGAAAATAACACATGGTGTATCAATTAACTACAGGTTTGTTCAACTTGATTGAGTGAGTCTATTGATCTCATATTTATTTCACACTGATAATTCAGGCCTGATTATGAATACGGTGTGAGTTGTGCAGTTTAATTTCTTAACACCACATGACTTTTTTTTGTGTGTAGTTTTATTTTTAATTCTTAATATTTCATCTTTTATTTTTCAGTCTTTAAAAGTAACACTGGAATTTTTCACCAGCGATGATGCTGCAGAATTTCATAGACAGATTATTCAATGTTTTTCTAAGTGTACAAAAACTTTATCTCAACCTGAATTGACTATTACTGCTGAGACGTCGACGGCCTTTTTTATGAATGATGTAGACGTAGAAGATTTTGACGATGATGAACAAGGAGATGAGGCGACTTTTGAAGAGAAATATTCTTGGCTATATAAGTACCTGTTAGTATGTATTTAAATATCATTTCTTTCTTTCTCAGTAATTATAACATTTACAGAAAGGGCTACAATTTAGATACTAATGATATTGATTATAAAAGAAGTCAGTGTTAATATTTGTCTAAGTTATTTTGAATTTCCAAGGATTAACTGCATTGAACAATACTTTTGAGC